GTAGGCCTGCTGCAGTATTCCTTCTTTCTTATGTTCTTATTAAAACCTCAGTAAGTGTGCAAATATATATATTATAATCATTCATGGTATTTGTTTGTATTTCAGTATGTGTGTGGGGGAGGGGCGGCATAATGCCGTGACTAGCACTGTACAGTGGACCCTCGACCAGCGATGGCATCGATTAACGATAAATCTGACTGGCGATACATTTTATCGCAAAAATTTTGCCTCGATTAGCGCTAAAAAACTCGACCAACACTATTCGTTCCGTCTGAGACGCGTCCACTTCTGGCCAGTGTTTACAAGCCAGCCAGCCACCGTGGTCGCTTCCAAGCATACAATCGGAACATTTCATATTATCACAGCCTTTTTAGTGATTGCACCTGCAAAATAAGTCACCATGGGCCCCAAGAAAGCTTCTAGTGCCAACCCTACAGCAAAAAGGGTGAGAATTACTATGAATATGAAGAAAGAGATCATTGCTAAGTATGAAAGTGGAGTGCATGTCTCCGAGCTGGCCAGGCTGTCACAAAACCCCAATCAACCATCGCTACTATTGTGGCCAAGAAAAACGGCAATCAAGGAAGCTGTTCTTGCCAAAGGTGCAACTATGTTTTCGAAACTGAGATCGCAAGTGATAGAAGATGTTGAGAGACTGTTATTGGTATGGATAAACGAAAAACAGATAGCAGGAGATAGCATCTCTCAAGCGATCATATGTGAAAAGGCTAGGAAGTTGCATGACGATTTAATTAGAAAAATGCCAGCAACTAGTGGTGATGTGAGTGAATTTAAGGCCAGAAAAGGTTGGTTTGAGAGATTTAAGAATCGTAGTGGTATACATAGTGTGATAAGGCATGGTGAGGCTGCCAGTTTGGACCAAAAAGCAGCTGAAAAATATGTGCAGGAATTCAAGGAGTATATAGACAGTGAAGGACTGAAACCTGAACAAGTGTTTAATGGTGACACTGACAATGTTGTGAAACACTTTAGGAATATCATAAAGGAACGGGAGGTACAGGCCTCTATGGGCAGATATGTTGTGCGACAGAGGTCCAGTGACTCTCAAGCTGGTCCTAGTGGCATTAAAAGAAGGGAAGTAACCCCAAAATAGGACTTGCCACCTCAAGTCCTAATGGAAGGGGATTCCCCTTCTAAACACTAAGACCATCAACACACTCCCACCTTTTCCCGTCCCATCAATCATCACCAGATCTTCAATAAAGGTAAGTGTCATGTAACTGTGCATGTCTTCTTCAGTTTGTGTGTATTAAAATTAATATTTCATGTGTTAAAATTTTTTTTTTCAATACTTTTGGGTGTCTTGGACGGATTAATTTGATTTCCATTATTTCTTATGGGAAAAATTAACTTGACTAACGATTATTTTGACTAACGATGAGCTCTCAGGAACGGATTAATAGCGTTAGTCGAGGGTCCACTGTACATGTGACTTTCAAATCACACCTTGGTCACCTTTGCCATATGCTACGGAATATTTCACATATTTTTATTTAGTGTGTTGACTTAATTACATTTATAAAATAAAGGAGGTATTGTACAATTAAACTGTTGAATGAAAAACATATTAATCAAGCTCCTCAAGTTTTGTTAGTGCAAATAAAGTTTTCCTCTTAAAGGGTTAAGATTTACTTATTGCTTTATAATTCTTTGTTTCAGTTTTCCCATTAATTAAAGAATTCTTAGTAAAATGACTGGTCTGCAAGGATTCAATTTTACTACCCTTCTTGATTAATTTCTTTTGTTAAAAGTATGAGGAGGTTATTATTCATTAGCTCCACAATGTGTTGTGTTCAGTTATATGTTTTGAATGATTTATTCAGTTGTTAACTTTCACACCGTCCATAAGGTAGTCCGTTATAGGTTTTTTCTAGATCCATGAGGTACACATATTTATTTTTATTTTTGTTATGTGTAACAGTGTTATCATCACTCCAGATAATATCTAATTCACATATTTGTACCTTTACTAAAACTTCCTGTCTCCACACTTGTTCTACTTTTCATCCCATCCTTATATTAGTTATACAGTGGACCCCCGCATACCGATTTTAATCCGTGCAAGAGGGGTCATTGTTATGTGAAATAATCGGTATGCGAATGAATTTTCCCTATAAGAAATAATGGAAATCAAATTAATCTGTGCAAGACACCCAAAAGTATGAAAAAAAAAAATTTTTACCACATGAAATGTTAATTTTAATACACACAAACTGAAAAAGGCATGCACACTTACATGACACTTACTTTTATTGAAGATCTGGTGATGATTGATGGGATGGGAGGACGGGAGAGAGAGTGTTAGTGTTTAGAAGGGGAATCCCCTTCCATTAAGACTTGAGGTGTCGAGTCCTTTTCTGGGGTTACTTCCCTTCTTCTTTTAATGCCACTAGGACCAGCTTCAGAGTCACTGGACTTCTTTCGCACAACATATCTGTCCATAGTGGCCTGTACCTCTCGTTCCTTTATGACTTCCCTAAAGTGTTTCACAACATTGTCAGTGTACAGGTTGCCAACACGGCTTGCAATAGCTGTGTGAGGGTGATTTTCATCAAAAAAGGTTTGCACTTCAAGCCACTTTGCACACATTTCCTTAATCTTTGTAGTAGGCAACTTCTTCAATTTCTCTCTCCCCTCCCTAAACCCAGTTTCCTCAGGTCTGGCCTCTTGCTTTTTTGAAGTTGATCTATCAGCCATCAGGGGTTTTGTTCTTTCATTGCCTCCTCCCCCAACTTTTCCCATCCTCCCCCAAACCCAAACCCCCAAGGGACTTTCCCCAATGCCACAAGGGATTCCTCAACTGGCAAATCCTCTCGGGGTTGCCTAAAAACCCTTCAAAATCCTTTTTGTCTACACATTGGGCCACATTTCTTCCAGCAGAGTTAAAGGGTCTTCTTAGTCACTCCCTCCCCAAGCCTTCCCTAAAAGGGTTTACACAATTAAATTTATTAAAGTGCTCTCTCCAAAACTCCTTAGGGGCAGTTGAGTTTTGAGGTCACACAAAGCACCTTTCAAACAGAGCTTTGTGTACATTTTTTTGAAGTTTGCAAAAACCCTGCTGGTCCGGGGCGCAGGAGACGGGGGGTATTGGAGGCAAAAATTTGATGTTAATGAATTTCATGTCCCCAAAAAGTCGTTTGCCACGTCGTAGGATGACCAGGGTTTGTCTAACCCCAGGGGGCACTTAATTTCTAATTTTTTTTTCATTTAGGTAATTTTACATTGGGGGAAAATGCAGGGTGTAACCATCATAGAAAAGTCCCTAGTGACCCTCTTATGTTTGCCCCCACAGCACCAAAAATTCCCTTGGGACTTCTTTTGCCTGAACGCCTGGGAGTTTCGAGTGATAAAAAATTAAAGGCTTAACTTTGAAATCACCCGTGCTTTGGAACACATCAACAAAAAAAGCCTGTCTTCAAGGCTTTTTCCCGGGGGGGCCTTTTCCCCTCCTGAAAAATGTAGGTCCTTTTGGGATTTTTTTCCAAACAGGCCTGTTTATCACAATTAAACACTTGTTCAGTTTTAGTTCCCTTTAGTCCTATGTACTCCTTGAATTCATGCACATATTTTTTCAGCCCTTTGTGGTCCGAACTGGCAGCCCCACCCTGCTTTTCCACATGTATGCCACTACGCTTCTTAAATCTCTCAAACCAACCTTTGCTGGGCCCTTTAAAAACACTCCCTCAGCACTAGTTCAGGCATTTTTTTTTAAATTAAATCCTCATGCAACTTCTAGCCCTTTTTGCTTTGATCGCTTGAGAACGTTCCCGCACTGTTTTTCTTTATCCCACACCAATAAGAGTCTCCAAAATCCCCTCACTTGCGATCTTTGTTTCGAAAACACGTTAAAAACCTTGGCCAAAAACGCTTCCTTATTGTTTCTGGTCCACAATGTACGATGGTTGATTGGGGTTTTTTTGACAACCCCCACCCGGTCGGCGATACAAAAAAATCCACTTTCATATTACAATGACCTTTCTTCATTTCATTGGAATTTCACCCTATTGGTGTGGGTTGGCCTAGAAGCTTTTTTGGGGCCCCTGGCACTTATTTTCCGAAAAAGCAAAAGAAAACACTTAATAATACGAAATATTTTGATTGTATGCTTGGTGTTTCCGTGGGGGGGCGGTAAACAATGGCAAGGGCAGCACATGTGAGGCTGGGTGAGGCGCACATGGACGCGTCTCGGACGAAAACGGTGAGGGGTTTTTTGCGGGGAGCGAGGCAAAATTTTTGCGATTAAAACAAGCGAGTGGTGATCATGCGATAATCGTTATTTGATGCCCACGTATGGCGGGGGTCCCACTGTATTGTAACTTTATACCTTTCAGGCAAGTTGAATTCTCTGATATCTTCTGTTGTTATTCTAAGAACCCATGATAGACATATCTAATTTATAAGCATTGCTGCTTATTTAGGTTTCTCTCTTCATTTTTCAGGCACCTTTCATATTCTTTAAGAGCATAAATTGCCAATTTGTTTTTTATTTATAATTTACTCTTTTTTCAAGCCTAAGTCAGTACTTTTGTGTCCATCTTTACTGTTATTGATAAATTTCCATATATAGTTATGGCCCTAAATTTATTAGAGTTTACTATGCTGTTTTTTAGCACTTTCTCATGACAAAATGATAATAAAATACCAACATTTCTGCTGTTATGTGGAATATAACATCATTCCTGTGAATATGAAAAAAGAAAGTCCACCAGGTTAGAGTCAGACCTGAAGAGTTTATATAAGGGTCAGTGATGGTTTCCTAAAGGGAAGGGTTATTCAAGAACTATCCAGCCGTACATCACAGGTTAGGTACATGGGTGAAATGCTCCACTTATGAGGTATTAGACCTTTTTGAGGAATTAGTGAAGGCAGTTGTATACTAAAATTGCTTCTAGCACTCTTTGTTGATGATATTTAAGTAGCTTTTTATTAAATAATTTATTTCTGTAACTTTTTTATGGTTAATGGAAATTTTTTTTCAGTTTCTCTGTGTCGTGGGACAGTACCTGTGTTGCTGGGTTTGGCTCGGGCCCTTGGCCGCTCCACATCTGGGGACCCTCTTTTCCTGCAGATTTTTCCAGAGCCAGTCATCCCAACTCCAATTGCTGCTGAGCCTCCACAAATGGCAAAAAAGAAGAGTTTCATAAATTTTCGTCCCATCATTCCAAGGTCACTGTCCTCCACGCTACCCTCATTTCTGATGTTGTTTCTCTGTTAGTGTGGACAGTGACCGAGATGTTGGGTTAGTAAATAAATTTTTTGTACCTGCTGTTTGTGTTTACCCTGCTATATTTTGTCCTTCACTTGCTGCTCCATTATATTCAGGGGTGTAATTTGACTACATGTATTCTCTTTTTTGGCATTTGGCTTACTATTTGGCTCCATTGATCGATTTGCTCTTAAAAATTCCTTTGGCAGATGTGACATGATAGTGCTGCAGTTGTATTTGGATGTAAATAGATTCACTCTCTGCCAATTTTTGTTTCCTGGAAATAATTGAAAAAAGGTAGATGCACACAGAAGGAAGTACAGTGGAACTCCGGTTTTCGTACAGTCTGCATATCATACAATTTGGATTTAGAAAACTTTTTTGGGTGAAATTTTGGTCCACATTCGTACCTCCATCTAGAAATCGTATGTATCAGATGCGTCCGCCCGCCCGCCGGACGCCGCCACGTACGTGTTTCAGTCTGGCTCTGTCACTGGTTGAGTGAGCAATTATCCAAAACATTTCGCAATTTTTGTGCTTGTTTTATTGATTGTGACTGCGAAATAAGCCACTATGGGCCCAAAGAAAGTTCCTAGTGTTATCCCTGTGATAAAGAAAATGAGAAACACAATAGAATTTAAGAAAGAGATTGTAGAAAACATGAAAGTGGCATGTGTTTAGCCGAGCTTGCCAGGATGTATGGGAAGTCGAAATCAACAATCTGTTACATCCTGGCAAAGAAAATAGAAATCAAGGAAGCTAAAGTTGCAAAAAGGGTAAATGTGCTGATGAAACAGAGCTCATAAACAATCAAAGGTGTGGAGAAGTTGTTGTTGGTGTAGATCAATGAGAAACAGTTCGTGGGAGATAGTGTGTGGAGTTGGTCATTTGTGAAAAGGCAAGGCAGTTGCATGCAGATCTTGTAAAGAAAATGCCTGGAATGAGTGCTGTTGTTAGTGAATTTAAGGCCAGCAAAGGCTGGTTCAACAGATTCAAGACGTGTAGTGGCATAAGCAGCGTTGTAAGCATGGTGAGGCTGCAAGTTTTAAACAAACGGCAACAGGGGTTTTATGCCAGTAAAAAAAAAAGGAGGAAGACTTTGATGAAACACAAAAGTGGAATAAAGCCTCTTGTCCATTGGGGAAACATCCCAGTGAACGGACTGTTTTGAGTTATTTTTCGATGACCCCTGATGGGCTCATTGTCGGGGAAAAAAATACATCTGTATTCCCCAGGGCAAATACAATTTCTCACCAAAAACCGGACACAAGTGGGAAGGAGACAATGTGGCAGGATGTACCTGTTTTTTTCCACAATAAGCTTTTGCCCATTGTAAAGCCACTGTACCACATATGGAAAAACAGAGCCCGATTTCAACTCAAAAGGTTTTTGTGACATTATAGGTGTCAAAAGTTTCCCGATACTTTAGTATGTTTCACTTTTTAGACAAAACCCGGCCTGACAGAAGCGACAGGTTATATAAAATAAGAAATGTGTTTTTTGACTGAAACAAAGTGCTGCTGTATTTTTATCCCTTCAGGAAGCTTGTTTTTTGATATCCTTGTTTTATTCAAAGGAAGATCTTTCAAGAAAAAATACCCAAACAAGGGAAAAGTTTGGTATAAAGTTATTTGTACTGGTGATTGCAGAAGTGGTCTGTTTTTGTATTTTTGTGTACAGGGAGTAATACTTTTAGAGATACCATGAAATTATTGGGTTTTTTGGTAGTGGTTTAACAATGATGGAACCAATTTTTGGTAAGGGGGATATGTTATTTACTGATAACTGGTACACAGCCTTATCAGTGATTTCTTTCGAGTGAACTTTACGAGTTGTGGCACAGTGCGTGGTAAACGCAAAAAATATGCCCAAAGGTTTGACGCTGGGCCTCGCAAGGGGGGTGCAAGCCTTTTTCTGCCAAAGACATCATGGGATTTCGGTGGCATGACAAACGTGATTCACATTGTTGACATCAGTTCACCAAACGAAATGGTACCCCGTGGCAGGACAACAAGAGACCAATGAACCCATTTAAAGCCTGCAGCTGTCATGGACACAACCTCAATATGCTCTTAGTGGACAAAGTGACATGCAGGTTTTGGGTTTGAAAATGTTTGCAAAAAAATTTTAAGTGGTTTCAAACTTTTTTCCCCTTTGTTGATATTCTATGCTAAATGCTTTTAAAAACAAGTTGAAAACCAACAAAACACCAAAAAATGGTGAAAATTTTGCCTGTCAGTAATCAACAATAATTGCAAAGTACCCCAAGGAAATCCTGCAAAAACCAGCCCCCGATATCTGTTGAGGCTGGTGATCATACCCCATACAATGCCTCCACTACTGCCAAGAAAAAAGCTCAGAAGAGGGTTATGTATGTATGCAACCACAAACGCCCCCAAAAAACCCGAGACACTCGTTTTATGTGCGGGAGTGTCAAGTGCCCTCTGCATATACCCCCGTTTAAAAAGGGTTCACAAACTGCAGCAGTTTAGGGAAAGTGGGTTTGTGACTGTACATATGTATATTATTATGGAACCATGTAATAAACAAATTTTTTTGTATTGTTTGTTTGTTAACAAATGTATACCAAAAAATAGTGATAAATTTGTTCTGTTTTGTGTTTTAAAAATGAGGATATTTTAACAATGCACCTTTCATTGGTTCAAGGACATAATTCCTGGGAAAAAAAAAAATTTAAAAAACAAGAAACCTTTTAATTAGAGAAATAAAAGAATACGGGGGGCGGGGAGTCCCCCCTGTTGCGTACGACATCAATTTCTGCAAAATTTTTGGGTTTAACCTCGGTAAGTATGATGGCAAAAAAATTTTTTTTTGGCTTAAAACACTATAAAATATTCCTAACAATTTATAAGAAAAAAAATTTTTTTTTTTTAAATTTGGCGACTAGAAGACATTTCAGAGAGGGGCCCTGAAACAGTAAAGGGGGTAAAATCAGTATTTATTTTTTATTTCTCTTGTTTTTGCATTTTAAACCCTACAGTTATTCTTTAAAAAAGTTTTTTTTTTAATTTTTTTGGGTGTCGGGAAGGATTAATTGTATTTACTTTTTCTAATGGGAAATATTAATTAAATTTTTCTACGTTTTGGATTGGATGACCTTCGGAATGGATTAAGTCAAAAAACCAAAGTTCTATTGTATTTAAATGTAAGGTCCTCCATACAAATCCGGCATCATTGGGGCCCTGTAGTGTCCGGATTAAGGTGGTTGGGTTGAATTATTAAAAAATTTAAAACCAACTTGACTTACAAAAAAGTTATTGAACTCGGAAAAAAATCAAAACTTTTTCCGTCTTTGCTAAATTTAAAGGTACTTTTCGTCAGAATCAATCAAAATCATGTCTATTTCTGTAATATATCTTTCATTCTGTCAAATGGTCCAAAAAATGAGAATACAACATAAAAAACCCATACAAAAATATACTGCAAAGAGGGGCTAATGGCCCGAGAAGTGAACTCCCTTATTTATTGTCGTTCTTTTTTATTTTTTTTTGTTAAAAAATTTTTTCTCTTAATTCCAATTTAAGGAAAACCCAAAAAAAAACCGAAAAAAAAAATTTAAAATATAATTGAATAAAAATATAAAAAAAATAATTTTTGATTTTTTTAAAAAGGTTTTATCAAACGAGTAAATTTTAAGAATAAAAATTTTACCATTGTAAAAGAAAAAAGAAATGTTACTTTTTCAACAAGTAAATTAGAAATTTTGGAATTTTCTTTTAACAAACAAAGATGCCAATTTAAAAAAGGGAGAATAAAAATGGTTTTTTTGGATAAAAAAAAAAAATTTTTTTGTTATTAGGGGAACCCCCCTTTTAAAATTTTTTCCCTTTGGAAATTTTTTTTAAAAAAAAAAAAAAATTTTTTAAAACTGTTTCCAGAGCGAATTTTGAAATTTGAAAAAAAAAATTTTGACCCGAAAAAAATTTGGACGGCGGGGAAGGGAAAGGGGGGGGGTTTTTTTTTGAGTTGTGAAAAAAATTTTTTTGCAGGGGAATTTCAAGGTTTTTCCAAAAAAATTTAAAATTTTAACAAATTTTTTTTCCCCGGGGGAAAAAAAATAAATAAACTTTTAAAAAATTAAAAAAACGCTAAGTCCGAAGGGGAAACTCCTTTTTTGGGATTTTTAATTTTTGGGGTTTAAAAACTTTTTTTCTTCGGGCCCAAAATTTAAATGAAAAAAAAAAAAAATTTTTTTAATTTAATTTTAAAGATATAAATAAAAAAAAAAAAAAATTATTTAGTAGTAATAAAATAATATAAAAAATAAATTTTTTTAAATGTAATTTAAGGAACAGGCCTAGCTGACACAGTGACATACTAGTATTGAAACCCCATTGTTATGCGGAGTATTTCAAGAAAATTAGGTCAGTGTCCCAGGATAAACCAACTAGTTGACAACACCCCCGGGACCCATTTACTGTGAGTAAAAAAAAGACAACAGGTGTAAAGAAACAAGCCTAATGTTTTTACCCCGGTGGAATCGAAAATTTACCAAAAAAATATATGGCTAACCCAAGCCCGGGACTAAATAAGCCCTTGATTTTTTTGGGTTACCTAGGTTCTTCAATATGCTGCTGTGTGTAATAATCTATATAGAAAAGAGAATTTTTTTTGTTTGGGTTTTGGTGGAGTACGGTGTATGTCATTTAGCCTGTGCGTACCCCTTTTCTCTAAAAACCCCAAGACGGGGGTAGGAGAATGGTATTTGTATATAAATTCCTTTCATCCCTCCGTCGAACGCTCGGTGTTATGAAAAAATTTTTTATTCTGGAGGTTTAACATGTTTGTTATTTATATTTTTTATTATGTCAATTAGATCAATTGTGTGGGCAAATAATTGTTGTTTTGTATTAGCATAAAAATAAAGCTTTTTCCCTGCTTCTGAGACTGAGTTCATGGCAACCGCGGGCTGCAAAGCCCCCCTTATTTTTTAATGGATAATGTACTTGTAGGTGCTTT